ATGACGGAAGAGGAGGAATGCGGAGGAGGAGGAGACGGAAGGGAGGGGCGGGAAGGCAGGGTAACAGGATCAGCGCATAGGAGTGGGAGGAGGGCGAAGGGAGGCAGGGATGAGAGAGGCAGAGGAAGATGATGAGGAGGAGAGAGCGGAGAAGAATTGCGAGGAGGAGGAGGATGAGGAGGACGAAGAGGAGGAGGGAGGAGGACGAGAGAATGGCTGAACAAACCAGCCACGACGCCTCTCCCTGCCGTCCTCCCGCTTGTGCTGAGGCTGTTTCTGAGGCCACTCGAGGATATGGGGCGCGGGGTTTGTTCTTCGAGGCCAAGGGGGGAGGGGGGGGGGTCCTTCACCCCGCCACCCTCGGGCCGCGGCGACTGTAGGTGGGAGGAGGAGGGAACGGAAGAGGGAGGGAGAGGAGGAGGAGTAGGAGGAGGAGGAGGGAACATGAGGAGGAGGAGGGAAAAGGGAAGACGGGATGCTGAGGAGGAAACGGGAGGAACAGGAGGTGGGAGGCTAGAGGAGGAAGAATGAAACATACGAAGAGAAGGAGGCTCGATCACCAAGTAATATCACGCTTGCGACGGCTGAACTTACGTCGTTGCGGCACTCAGAAAAGCTGATATTTGTTGATTCGGAGCCCCCCGCAGGTTAATTTATAGGAGCGGCACCGCCGCCATACATCGTTATTGTGGCCCCCGAGAGAGCAGTTCTATCGATATCAGAGGCGGCAGATCGATATGAAAAGTCCCCAAAAAACAAAGGTAAACATGATCCTCACGCGTGGCCGATAACGTCACCGCGTGGGCGGGCGTGGAACGAAAGAAGGCTCAAAATTGCACCGCACCCGCCTGAAATATCCTTCCCCCGTCGTCTCTTTCCTCCCTCTCTCCCCTCCCGGGGGCGGAGTGCCGGCTAGCCCTGCCGGGGTGGGTTGGCTCTCCGCCCCCTCTGCCTGTCTCGTCTTCGCGCCCTCCCGAATGATACAGCCCCAGGTCTTGTCTCGTGGTTGGCTGAGGTGCGGTTGCTGTAGGCCTGGTTGCTTCTCCCTGACTCGGGGGCGCGCAAACATGAACTAGCGATCCATGGATTTGGCGCGCGGTCGCCAAATCCATGGAGGGGAGGTGCCCCCCATGGCAACGGGACCCGGCGCTCATCCACGCCCCCTTGATCCATGCTTGCGATCGCCTGACTGACCCCCCTCCACTGACCCCCCCTCCCACGCCGCGCGGATGTTGTAGTATGCTCGGGCCGAGCTCGTGCCCAGGAGGCTTTTGACAGCAGTGCTAGCCCTTCGGCTGGGCCTCCGCCCGGCCGCCGAGGCGCCTTCGAGCATCCGCCGGTCCGCCCTGGGCCTTGGTCGGGCTGCGCTGGTCTGATATCGTGGCCTTGACCGTCGCTGCTCTACCTTGCGCTGTTCCTGGGGTTGGCTCTTCCGCCCATTGCCGGGTCCGTCGTCTGTTGCTCGCAGGTGTGACTTGCCCGTGAGAGTGGCTTGTTTCCCCCTCCCTCTCTTCTCATCCGCCTCCTCCTCCTCCCGCACTTCTCGACAACCACCTGCACCAACGCTGACGCGGGGTCTTGAACTGCCCCCCAATGGCACCAAGGCCTTGCACACATAAATCTTACCAGGACTCACAGTGATACGTTTTTATTCCCCATATCCTAAGATGGGGTTCTTGTTATTACTTGGACGCCTCCTACTCCTCCTCCTCCTCCTCCTCCTCCTCCTTCCTCCTCCTCTTTTCTCCTCCCCTCCTGTCGGACATACTCAGACTTGCTCATACACAGACTTACTCATACTCAGACTTACTCATACTCAGACCTACTCATACTCAGACTTACTCACACTCAGACATACTCATATACAGACTTACTCATACACAGACTTACTCATACACAGTATTAGTCATACCCAGACGTACACATACACAGACTTACTCATACACAGACTTACTCATACTCAGCACCCCTAAGGGGAGCCGCCAGGGGTGGTTGCACGGGCTCGTTCGCGGCCATTTTGTGGGGATGTCTCAGGCGGTTTGCCTGTTTCTGTGCCCAACATCCTTCGCTTTCGGAGCAGATTTGGAGGATGTCTCGAGCGAGGCGCTCATTTCAGCACCCCTAAGGGGAGCCGCCAGGGGTGGTTGCACGGGCTCGTTCGCGGCCATTTTGTGGGGATGTCTCAGGCGGTTTGCCTGTTTCTGTGCCCAACATCCTTCGCTTTCGGAGCAGATTTGGAGGATGTCTCGAGCGAGGCGCTCATTTCAGCACCCCTAAGGGGAGCCGCCAGGGGTGGTTGCACGGGCTCGTTCGCGGCCATTTTGTGGGGATGTCTCAGGCGGTTTGCCTGTTTCTGTGCCCAACATCCTTCGCTTTCGGAGCAGATTTGGAGGATGTCTCGAGCGAGGCGCTCATTTCAGCACCCCTAAGGGGAGCCGCCAGGGGTGGTTGCACGGGCTCGTTCGCGGCCATTTTGTGGGGATGTCTCAGGCGGTTTGCCTGTTTCTGTGCCCAACATCCTTCGCTTTCGGAGCAGATTTGGAGGATGTCTCGAGCGAGGCGCTCATTTCAGCACCCCTAAGGGGAGCCGCCAGGGGTGGTTGCACGGGCTCGTTCGCGGCCATTTTGTGGGGATGTCTCAGGCGGTTTGCCTGTTTCTGTGCCCAACATCCTTCGCTTTCGGAGCAGATTTGGAGGATGTCTCGAGCGAGGCGCTCATTTTCACCCCCCAGGTGGGCCAGATTTTGAGGATGTCTCGATCGGTTTGCTAGTTTTGGTGGCCAGGCTCGTGGGCGCAGATTCTTCTCAGGATGCCACAGGAGGCTCCAACAGGCTCCAGGAGGCTCCAGGAGACCACATGAGGTCCCAGGAGGCATCAGGAGGCCACAGAAAGACTCAAGAGGCTACAGGATGTCCCAAGAGGCTCCAGGAGGCCCCAGGAAGCTCCAGAAGGCCTCAGGAAACCACAACCACAGGAGGCCCCAGGAGGCAACAGGAAGCGCCAGGAGGCCTCGGAAGGCAACAGGAGGCCCCGAGAGGCCCCAGGAGCAGGAGGCCTCAGAAGGCAACAGGAGTGGCTCCAATCCCATGTGTTTTACGTATGCTCCTATCGATTGGGCCTCACCTGGAGCACGATTCTTTGATGTTCTACGTATGTTTCTATAGATGGTCCTTCTCCTGTGTACACAATCCTAAATGTTTTACTCATGTTCCTATGTATTGGGCCTCTCCTGGGGCACGAGTCCTTGGTGTTTTACGCGTGTTCCTATAGATTGCCCTTCTCCTGTGGCTCTAATCCGCAATGTTTTATGTACGTCTGTTGCTATAGATTGCGCCTCCCCTGGGGCACGAAACCTTCCTAGGAGGTCCCAGGAGGTCCCAAGAGGCTCCTGGAGACCCCAGGAAGCCCCAGTAGGTTTCAGGAGGCCCCAGGAGGCCCCAGGCTCATGCACAGAGACGCGCTCGTACTACTGAGGCTCATTCACACTCCAATTCATTCGCAGTTAGATTGATGTCCAGACCGTCACAACTGAAGCCCGTTAATATTCGAAAGCTCTTGCGCCTAGACATTCACGGCGGACAGGTCCATGCGAGTAGATGCACATATGGGGAGCTCCACGCAGTGAATAATGTGTGTGTGTGTGAAGTCGTATCGTTGAGCAGGTGTGGTCTTCCCCCCTCCCTCCTCCCTCCCCCCTTCCCTGCGAGTCCTGGGCGAGTACAAGTGGTTGACTTCATCTCTGGTCTGCTGATCTGCTTTCCAGGGCTGTCGGCGAAACCATGGTGACAAGCTAAACCGTCGCCGCGGGGATTTCGCTTCTGCAGTGCTCGTTGTTTCACAATGCAAGGTGGACAGCAGTGAGCACAGCAAGATACAACAAGGGAAGTGTATGAAGCCGGATGCATGTATAAAAGCTGGCGCGGTCTGGCCCATTTACGACAGCACTCAGACGGTATTGTGCCCTGAGCTCTAGAGAACAGCAAGTACATGTAAGGGTTGCTAAGTCCCTCTACGAAAATATACAGAAAAAGGGAAACGCGAGTGCTCAAGATGAACGAACAGCCATCAATTTAGTATTGTCTGCGAGGCCCTCGAGAAAGCAAAAAGAAACATCAGATGGCTCCCACACGACCGTATGCCCGTAGATGCTCTCACGAAGGATGACATCACGAAATGCAACGCCGCATTATTTGATGTGATGACCAGTGACAGGCTGATTATGGTGGGTGAGGGCTTAGAAATAGCAGGGAGGAAGGACGACCCAGGCCTCAAGAACCGATCCCAGGCGGCCTCCAGAAAGATGCTGGGCGGCGACCAGACCTTGCTCTCATGGCAGGAGTATGTGGCCCAGGGCTCCGGTGGTGGTAGTTCTCGGTCGGTGTCATCCCTCTTTCCCTCTCTGTCTCTCTGTATCTCCTCCCAATATGCTTAATCATCCCCGTTTCATCCTTGTCAATCCTTGCACTGATGCAACTAACCATGACTTATATACGGTTTGTTTTACCGCCATCCAAATTAAGGGTGACGGAAGCAGTCAGACCTCGACAGAGAGGTGGTGCCATATAGTCTCAAGTCATGTTTTGTTTTCCGCTGCAGTTGTCCAGTACACAGACAGCTCAACCTATAAGAAAGTTTAGGGCATGTGGGAGGATGTCACTTTTGTCTGTGTAGGCTCAGCTCATGGATGTGCACTCCGTTTCATTGTGGCCCAAGTCCACAAACCATCAGGGGTGACTGCTGCTGCCACAACGTGTAACACCCTCGGCCACCAGACCCCGCCGCGCTAGATCGGCGAGTCTGGCACTCGTGGCAAAATGCCTGGTACCAAAAAGGGGCTGGGAGGAGGAGCGAGGAACCGGGCGAGGAGCGAGGGGGAGGCGAGGGGCAAGGAGGGAAAAAAGTACCGAAGGAGGGAGGGAGGAGGGTGAGGCGGAATACGAGGAGAAGCAGCAGCAGCAAAGGCGGGACCCCGAGCGAGCCGCCCTCCCTCGGAGCGAGTCTAGGAGGGCGTGCGGGGCGCCTCCCAGCCCAGCCGCTGCCTGAGCAGAAGCACCACGACGAACGCGATCACGGACCCGATCGTCTTGCAGAGGAGGCTGGCGAAGAAACCTCGATGGTCGCGAAAGAGGGCCCTGGCCCAAAGTTAGAAAAAAAAGAAATGGCAGAAACATTACCTTTCGAACGGCCGCGCGGACTTCTTGGATCGGAGCTGGACCCCCCTGGCGGAGCCTCTGGCGTCGCCCCTGGCCCGCACAGCGCGCCAGGGAGGTGGGTCCGGCGCCGATCGAAAATAATCCGCGCAAACATTGGAAAGTGTATGTTCATGCCGTGTTTTCCTCTTCGACTGGAGTCCCCTGGGACACGTGGAGGCGGCGAGGTCCTTCCTAGAGACTCTGGGGATGCCTCTCTTGGGCCAGGAAGACGCTTTCGGCAACGACCCCGAAGACCCCAGGCGGCGCCCCAGACGAAGCCGGTGGCCACCTCCATGACCTGGAAGCAGGGCAAGTTGAGACAGCGGCAGCTCAAAGTCGGTCTACGGGCCCGAGGTCCGAACGTGCCAGCTTTCGGAGCTGCGTCCAGCGGTGGCGACGAGGAGGCCCCCCGAACGCTATAGCCGCCGTGGTCTCCCTTCGCCCTCCTCTGCTGACCGTCGTGGGCAGCGACAGGCCCACCCAGGCAGAGAAGATGACCACGTGCAGGGCCAGCCCCGGCCAGCCCGTGTCGCGCAGCTGCTCCTGAGGCGTTCCATGCGCGGTCAAAGTCGGCTCTTGACGGTCCCAATGCCCGTCGGGCGCCTCGAGAGGCCGAGAACTACGGAGCACCTCTTTCCAGAATTCTGCACGCGCCCCTGTCGTGGAGAAGCGGCACTGAGATGAGCTGCGTGCAGTGGGAAGCCGAAGCAGGTTCGACTTCCCAATACACGCAATTCTTCTCAGATTTTTGTTGAAAGCAGGTTCGACTTCCAAATACGCGCAGTCCATCTCAGGCTTGTTATTTTTGGAAGCAGGTTCGACTTCCCAATAAGCGCAGTTCATCTCAGGCTTGCTTTTGGGGAAGCAGGTTCGACTTCCCAATACACGCAGTTTTATCTCAGGCTTGCTTTTTGGGAAGCAGGTTCGACTTCCCAATGCGCGCAGTTCATCTCAGGCTTGTTTTTGGGGAAGCAGGTTCGACTTCCCAATGCGCGCAGTTCATCTCAGGCTTGTTTTTGGGGAAGCAGGTTCGACTTCCCAATACACGCAGTTCATCTCAGGCTTGTTTTTGGGGAAGCAGGTTCGACTTCCCAATATGCGCGCAATTCATCTCAGGTGTTTGTTGAAAGCAGGTTCGACTTCCAAATACGCGCAATTCATCTCAGGCTTGTTTTTTGGAGAAACAGGTTCGATTTCCAAATACACGCAGTTCATCTCAGGCTTGTTTTGTGGGAAGCAGGCTCGACTTCCAAATACGCGCAGTTCATCCCAGGCTTGTTTTTGTGGGACGCAGGTTCGACTTCCCAATACGCGCAGTTCATATCAGGCTTGTTTTTGTGTGACACAGGTTCGATTTCCCAATACACGCAGTTCATCTCAGGCTTTGGTGGAAGCAAGTTCGACTACCCAATACGCGCAGTTCATCTCAAGCTTGCTTTTTTTGGAAGCAGGTTCGACTTCCCAATACGCGCAGTTCATCTCAGGCTTGGAAGCAGGTTCGACTTCCCAATACGCGCAATTCATCTCAGGCTTGCTTTTTTGAAAGCAGGTTCGACTTCCCAATACACGCAGTTTTATCTCAGGCTTGTTCTTGAGGAAGCAGGTTCGACTTCCCAATACGCGCAGTTCAGCTCAGGCTTGTTTTTGGGGAAGCAGGTTCGCGTTCTCAATACACGCAATTCATCTCAGGTTTTTGTTGAGCGCAGGTTCGACTTCCCAATACGCGCAGTTCATCTCCGGCTTGTTTTTTTGGAAGCAGGTTCAACTTCCCAATACGCGCAGTTCATCTCAGGCTTGTCTTGGGGGAAGCAGGTTCGACTTCCCAATAGACGCAGTTCATCTCAGGCTTGTTTTTTGGAAGCAAGCTCGACTTCCAAATACACGCAGTTCATCTCAGGCTTGTCTTTGTGGGAAGCAGGTTCGACTTCCCAATACGCGCAGTTCATCTCAGGCTTGTACGTTTTGTGGGAAGCAGGTTCGACTTCCCAATACGCGCAATTCATCTAAGGTTGTTGTTGAAAACAGGCTCGATTTCCCAATACGCGCAGTTCATCTCAGGCTTGTTTTTGGGGAAGCAGGTTCGACTTCCCAATACGCGCAGTTCATCTCAACCTTGTTTTTGGGGAAGCAGGCTCGACTTCCAAATACGCGCAGTTCATCTCAGGCTTGCTTTTTTTGGAAGCAAGTTCGACTTCCCAATTCGCGCAGTTCATCTCAGGCTTGTTTTTTTGGAAGCAGGTTCGACTTTCCAATACACGCAGTTCATCTCAAGTGTTTGTTGAAAGTCGGTTCGACTTCCCAATACGCGCAGTTCATCTCAGGCTTGTTTTTGTTGGAAGCAGGTTCGACTTCCAAATACGCGCAATTCATCTCAGGCTTGTTTTTTGGAAGCAGGTTCGACTTCCCAATACACGCAGTTGATCCCAATGCAAGCCTTCGGAGCTCCAAACTGGCGCGAGGAGGGAGCTATGTCGGCGCCGGAGGCGCCGCAGTGGGGCGCACAGCGCCCATCCCAAGGCATGTGCGCGGAGCTCCGAAAGTGTATACGGTGAGGGCAGTGGATGCAGTCGAAACGTGAATTAAGGACTGGAAGGACGCAATACCTTGGGAGTCGAAGTTGTGATTATTTGGGCGGAGGACGACAAGTAAAAGCGGCAAATGACGGGGCAAGGACACAATGGCACCCTGCACAAAGGCGCGCGTCCTTACCACTAGGCGCGTCGACTTTAAGGAACCATCGGATGAGGAAGCAAAGCGCCCCCCAGATGTCCCCAAGAGCCCCCCGGGAGGCCCACGAGAGGCATCCCACGAGCCCCCCCAAGCTAATCCAGGCAGCTCCTGACCCACAAGGTATCTCCCAAGAGGACTGTCGCAGGCGCCTGCTCCTTCTGGAGGGTCGGCGGAATGGACTGGATGTTGCTACGAGTGCCCCTGGCCCAAGGTGTCCCCAGGATTTCCCCAAGGAGGCCCCACGGCCTCCAGGGTACAGACAACCAGTATAGTGAGGATGCGCGATAAGGATTCAAGGGCCTTGGACGCCCATTTTCAAGCTTTTTGAGCGGGGCGCGGCCAGCGAAAGCGACGAGGGATAGACCGAGGAGGTAAGGATGCAAGGGTACCCTTGGGAAGGTTGTCCATCCTTACTATGCGGGTTGACTGTACCCCTCACGAGGCCGGGGGGGCCCCAGGGGCTCCAGAGTGGAGCGAGCAGCTGGGGGCATCCTGGGCCAGGGGCACCCTTGGCAGCACCCGATCGATCGAAGAAGCCAAGGTCTGGAAGCTGGTGGAGCTCCAGCCGTGGATTGGCCAACGAGTACAACTGCCGCCCTCGTCAGATGAGGACCCCCCCCCCAGGCCTGAAGCCTCGTGGGCACATTCCTGAACCAACGCACCGCCCCCCGTACCCATCGGTCGGAAGAAGGAGGTAGAAACACGAAGTGGCAAGGCGTTGGATGAGGATTGGGCTTCCGCCCGCCCCCTCAAGAGGGAAGAAAGAAGCCACTCGATCCTTGAAGTAGGAAGGCGCCTAAAGCAAATTGGAATCTGGGGCTCCAGAAATGCCTACTTTCAACGACCGTGGGGTATGTACTTTCGCTGTAAGCTCTCACTCGAGCTCCAGCAGCGCGGCCAGCGCGGCCACGCCCCGCGAGCGCGCCGCCGGCCCCGCGGACCTGCCGGCGGCGGGCCCCGGGGGGAGCTGTGGGGGGGGGGCAGGCCTTCTGAGAAGGGGCAAAATTACTCTGGGTGGGATATTCATCGAGGGGTGGGCGACTAACCTTCCGACGAAGCTTGCCCATCCCCCCCCCTCCTCCACCTCGTCCACCTTTTCCTTCTCCTCCTCCTCCTCCTCAGTCCCCCCTCCACCCATTCCGACAGCACGTACCCAATCCCCCAAGCAGATCCAAGGGGGGGGGGGGGGAATATTGTCCCATCCGGAGTAGCTTCCCAGAAATGAGAGGAGCGAGCTTTAACCCACGCGTTCCGCACACAAAAACGGCGGATCACTCTGAGAGCGCTTGCAGAATCCCGTTTGCCTTGACCCCCTCGAACACTCGCTGGTTGGTTCGGTGAGGGCCAGCTCAAGGGGGCGAGGCACTGAGCTGACACAGGAAATACATCGCCGATAGATCGGCGATAGGCCCCCGATAGCGAATCCGCGCATTCCTGGACGGGGTGGGACTAGCAGACCTCCAGCGACCAGTGGGCGATTGGGAGTCGACGCGTTCCCCCCCTGAGCCTATGGCCGGACCTAGGACAGAACAACATCCTTCAAGAACATGAGAGCATCCGCCGGCAAAACTGGAGGGCTTTCGAAGGTACCCTCCCTCCGGATGCACAAGAACATCCAACAAGCACGAAGAGCCTTGAGGTACCCTCCCCGAAACGACCTCGATCTTATACCTCGGTCCGACCGTATGCCCCCTTATCGTTGCCCCTGGTCTCATAAGTCGGCGAGGCTGCTCCAAGCCCTCGCGCCTTCTGAAAAGCCGCCTGTGGCTTCGGAGAGGGCCTGCTCTCAGAAGGCCTAAGGGCGAGGGTTTCGGAGAAACCCCGCCGCCCTCTGAGAAGGCGCGCCCCTTCCCCGAGAGCCAACGCTGCGAACATATGGCAGGCATCGTTAGGTCGGGCATGCCTCCCCACAGTCCGATTTAGGATGACAAACTAGAAATAAGCATAAAACACTCAAATACTCAACACATCGTCCCCAGATGTTTTGTTACTATGTTTGAATATTCCTTCTGTAGAGGTTTAGGCCCGACTCAACATATGGCAGGCATCGCTCAAGATCACGCCGAGAGCCCCAGGCCCCCTCCCCTCCTGCGTCCCTCCTTCTTGGCGCCGGGATCGACCTGTGAGGGCCCCCCTCCCTGGAGGCCCGAAGCCCAGCGAAGGCTCCCGCCGGGGGAGTCGACACACCCAGCTCTCGCCCCCCCGAGCGCGCTTCTTTATTTTCGGCGATCATGGGAACTATAGGGGGGAGGAGGCCAGGGGGGGTATAATGTAACGCCTCCCCCCCGCCGTGTGCCCGATGCGCACGGCGGCAGTGCCCGGAGCGCACTGGGGGGGGGGCGTTACGCTAAAGGGGGGTGAGGGGGGCCAGGGGCTATAAATGCCCAGTATGCCCCAAGAACCAAGTGGCACGTGTGCCATGGCTCTTGCACAAAAGTGAGGGAAGGGGGAGGGTCGGAGGGGTATGCCGTGCCGAAATAAGAAGGGGTCGGGGCGGAGGGGCGCGCTGGCTTGTGAGTGGGTGAATGGGTGGGGGAGGCGTAAGAAGGGGTCGGGGCGGAGGGGCGCGCTGGCTGGTGGGTGGGGGGGATGCGGAGGGAACGCGCGGGGCGCGCGGGGAGGGAGTGGGAGCCGTGCCGAAATTCAGGGGTCGCGGGGCGGATGGGGGCGCGCTGCCTGGTAAGTTGAGGGATGCGGGGGGGGGGGGGGGGGGGCGTGCCGAAATAAAAAGGGGTCGGGGCGGGAGGGCACGCTGGCTGGTGGGTGGGGGATGCGGAGGGGGTGTGCCGTGCCGGAATAAAGGGGTCGGGGCAGAGGGGTGTGCCGTGCCGAAATAGAGAGGGGTCGGGGCGGAGGGGCGCGCTGGCTGGTGGGCGGGGGCATGGGAGGGGGTGTGTGCCGTGCCGGAATACAGGGGTCGGGGCGGAGGGGGTGCGCCGTGCCGAAATAAAAGGGGTCGGGGCGGAGGGGGCGCGCTGGCTGATGGGTGGGGGGGATGCGGAGGGAATGTGCCGTGCCGAAATACAGGGGTCGGGGCGGAGGGGCGTGCCGTGCCGAAATAAAGGGGTCGGGGCGGAGGGCGCGCTGGCTGGTGGGTGGGGGGGGGTGCGGAAGGGGTGTGCCGTGCCGAAATAAAAGGGGTCGGGGCGGAGGGGTGTGCCGTGCCGAAATAAAGAGGGGTCGGGGCGGAGGGGTGCGTTGGCTGGTGGTGGGGGGAGGCAGGGGGGGTGCCGTGCCGAAATAAGAGGGGTCGGGACGGAAGTGCACGCTGGCTGGTGGGTGGGGGGATGCGGAGGGGGTGTGCCGTGCCGAAATACAGCGGTCGGGGCGGAGGGGTGTGCCGAAATGATAAGGGTCGGGGCGGAGGGGCGCGCTGGCTGGCGGGTGGGGGGGATGCGGAGGGGGTGTGCTGTGCCGAAATAAAGACGTCGGGGCAGGCAGGTGTGCCGTGCCGAAATAATGGTGTCGGGGCGGAGGGCGCGCTGGCTGGTGGGGGGGATGCGGATGGGGTGTGCCGTGCCGAAACCCGCTGATCGGGCGTGTGAGTTTAAGAAAGCTACATTCTGAGCTTAAGCTCTGCTGGGGGGGGCCGGGGGGGCTCTGCCGGGGTAGGGGGGGGGAGGGAGGGGGGTCATGGGGTCCACCCGTTCTTCCCCCCCCCCCCCAGGAACCCCAAACCGCCCCAAGACGGGCCAAAAGGGGCCCAGGAGGCCACCAAGACGGTCCAGGAGGCGCCCGAAACGGCCCAAGAGCGCTCCTGGACGCCCAAGATGGCCTGAAGACGGTCCAAGAGGCCTCCAAGACGCCTCAAGGAGATCCCAAGAGGACCCCCAAGAGGGCCCCAAGAGG